CATGACGCAGGAGGGGGGGCTCTGAGGCACTGCAACACTACAAAGAAATTTAGGAATACTGCATCACCGTAACAAAAGTTGATGAAACAACACCGTTACCACAACATATATTTTTACCCCATGATTTCAGTGGAAACACTTGACATAATACTTTTATACCTTAACAGTTTTCCACAAAATAAACACATTACAACGCTTGTCTTTGCCACTGGGTTGATACTGCTGATGCCTGCAAATCTTTTCTTGTACTTAACAGTATGTTTCTTTTGTATGAAGTCCATGAACTGACGACTGAGAAGTTGACGAGAACAAAGCTAATGCTGTCAAGTGATAAAAAAACCTTTCCAAGAAGTCGTGCATCCTGACAGTTACAAGTACTGTCACAGAAATAAACTTCGCAGTTCACTTTCTTTGATCCCCACCCCCTAACCCCACACCCACACTCCCCTTGTTGCTTGACACAACTATTATAGGTACATTTACCCATTTGGCACTAGTTAAGTTTCAACCCCATTCCACAACTAATTTGTCCTTAATCCAGTATCTACTTTGCCCAAGCACAGAGAATTTTGCAAATCAAGTAGTTCTAAAGTGGAGTCTACGCTTTTGATCTAAGGAGGTTGGTCAGCAATATAGTGTTTGGACTATGTCAAAATAAACATCCATTTTTTTTTCCTTCCGCAACGTCTGACATGTTAATTAATTAAACAAATACTTCTCAAGTCATCTGACAGAAATATAGTGCATAAAACAAATACTCAATTTTCTCCCTCACCTTTCGCATCATTCTCCGTGTTCGCCATCTTGATTCTCGGTCAGGAATCTGGTACTAGTTCGCTTACCGCTGACCAGTTCACTTTCTTTTTTTACCAGTTTGTTTACCAAAAAATAGGGAAAAAATGACAGACGACGTGGCGGAATCTCCGCAAAACAGAACGCGCTTTCTCGTCGTAAATGCCGATGATTTTGGATACTGTGATCAAAGAAACCGTGGTATAGTAGAGTCGTTTCAAAACGGAGTAGTTTCTAGCGCTAGTCTTCTTCCAAACGCTCATAGGGCTTTAGAAGCGGTACAGTTGTCTGAGGAATATCGAATACCCCTCGGTCTTCACCTTAATCTGACCGAGGGAAGACCAATAGAAACACTTAACAACACCCTTACGTCAGAGAAAGGTTTACTGAGGGGAAAGTTTAAATTTAGAGAAGCGCTGAAAAATGGAGAGATAGATCTGGATGAGGTATGTAAGCTTATAAAAACAATTCACTTAAATATTTAATATCCTTAATAGTTATTATTTATTGGATGATTTAAGCTGCAGGTATTAAACTTAATCAAGTCTCATGTAAATGAGACAATGAGTCCAGACTTCACTGTTTAAGCCTGTTTTAATATATATTTAAGGTCCCAAGGTTAACATAGTCTGTTGCTAACAAGAGAGAGGATGCCTGACATATTCACCCTTCATATGTCTGGCTTTTTCACATACCCACTGGGACACTGTTGCCTGAGTTTTCAAGATATTCAGTGGGTCTGAGTTTTTAAAACACCCAAGTGTTTCAGTGTAATTGGCACAGTCACTGAGTCTGAGTTACGTGTAAGAGTTTTCCAAACACTCAACATATCTGAGTCTAAAAGGCACTCAGTGGGCTGAAACTGTGAGATATCCAGAGGGTCTGAGGTTGAAAGACAGTCACAACACAAGAATGAGATTTTGAGAAGTCAAATGATCGCATGAACCTAAGTTAAAGGCAAGGGTTGAATAATAAGGACTATCACATTTTCCCAAACTTAGTGCCAGAGCATCACAAAGTCATGTAAACATCATACAGCTACATGTATCTCCTATTTCTTGTACAAAGTGAAGGCAAGAAATGTTGATGATTTTCTGTATTCTCATCACCTGTCTTCTTGAAGATGTATTGATATTGTAACAAGAAATTACATCTCAAAAAGCTTCATCTAACAAAGCAAATATCTTCTGTTTGTATGCTCCTATCATGTGACAGGAGCTTATGTTTTTTTCACAAGCCTAAGATTTTATTGTCTCCTGTTCTTGACAAAGTAGATTAAAGATGAAGTACAGGCTCAGCTGCAGTGGTTTGTTAGCACTGTAGGATCATTACCCACACATATCAATGGACATCAGCATGTTCATGTCATACCACAGGTGTGTGAAATTCTTGCCACAGTCATGAAAGAGAATGGAGTTCATTGGACAAGAATACCAGTGGAACGCAACCTAGATGAATGCGTATGGATTGAAGAATCAAGGAAACATTTCTACAAATCTGTCATAACTGAGGCAGAGGATGCCAAAGTGGTTTTCTTGAGTCATGGAATAAGGTGAGCTTTTCAACACTCTTTCATTTTTGTCCATAATCCCCCAGGGTTAATGGGCCACCTTTTCAACACACTAGAAAAACTATAAATTGTGACAATCCTGTGAACATTTTTTTAAACCACAAAACAACTTAGAAGCTTATAGACTGATTCAAATGTTCCTGCATAAAAAGCTGGAAAAGTAGATATATCATTAAGAGGAGGCTGTGGATATTTGGATCAAAGGTTCAATACATACAGTATACAGTACAAGTTTCTGAACTGCAACTTGTATTTAATGAAACCATGTTGCCCAATGATTTGCTGGAATTTTGTACCTGCCAAGCAAGTATGGAAAACCAAGTCTTTTTGGCAATGAGAAATTCAATCTTTTTACAATATAGAATTAAAAGTAGTTGCAGAACTGGCTAAGATATTTGATTCTAAGTTTTGTTTGTCAATTAAAAAATGTTTCCCTTAATTTTGCAGGTTTGCAAATAACTTCATTGGCCTCAGCACCCTTGGAAAAGATATGAGACTCCCAAGACTTGCAAAAGCCATAGAAAATGTATTCATACAACAAGAGTTACATGATATTGTTAAAAAGGACTGTAAAACTGTGTGTGAGCTTATGGTGCACCCTGGGTATAAGAGTATTATGGGTTGTGGAGGGTGTGGTGAAGGACCTGATTTGTTTGCCTGCTCTTCTGACAGGGAGCACGAATTGACAACACTTGAGAGCTCTGACCTCAAAGAGTTCCTAAAATCTAACAATATTTCAGTATGCTCATTTAAGGAATTGCAATAACCCTTCTAAACCCTAAACCCTCCTTCTTCTTAAGTTAGACTAAACTGTATTTAGAAATTGTATTTACAGTGAGTTATTTATGAAAATGTCATTTAATATTTATTTATTTAACAATAAAGAATAATTTATTTTAAGTTAAGCTTAAGCATCTTTATTTAAGTCTGTGGATCACCAAATCTACAAAAATCATAAGACAACCTGTATGTATAGGACTACATTTTCAGGTATCCAGTATGTATTTAATAAATACTTAATAAATATTTACTATTTTAACTCTAACTCATCCTCAGTCTGGTCTCAAATCTCTATTGCCTCATCATATATTTTTAGGATGAATAAGTGGCTAAAATCAAAACTTTATTCCAAAATAATGCCAGCTCCTCTGCAATAACATTTAAGTACAGTGAAGAAGATCAGCAGTGTGGTGTTGTTGTACCAAGCTATTGCAGCTCCAGTGACAAAAACTGCTAAATTGTGGAATCTGAACCTCAAACGTCTAGTGTGCCATACAAAACTAGCACTAGGTAGAAAAATGAAAGACATACTTGAGAGGCTTGAAATGAATGTATTGATAGCTGTATTATGTCAAGATACAATTCCTTATGAAAGCATAAGTAACAAACAACATAATGATATTCCTGTTGAGGACATAATTAGTTTAAATTAATAACATTGTTTTTAGACATTTGTCATTGACAAAGAGGCGAAGAATCAGCTAATATTAACTTTATTCTCCTGATCAAATGAAATTGAAATGCAGTCTATATGGTTTCTCACAAAACATATTCCTGTGTTAACGTGAAATGAAAATAGACTGAAATAAAAACAGTGAAAGAAGAGGCATTACTAGGTAGGAACAAAGCCACTAACAGTAAATTTTGAGTGAAACTAAACTACTTAAAGGTCCCTGCAGACATTTATTTGTTTGTGAAAGTTTGTAATGTTCATAAATGCAGCCTTAAAGTTTAGCCAATGCAAATGCTGGTTTTTGGGTGAACTGCTCCTCTTCCGTTGATCCTTTCAGTGCTGTTGTGGAGCTTGTTCCACCACTGATTGCCATGGAAACCTTGTCAAAATACCCTGTGCCCACCTCTCTCTGGTGTTTATGAGCAGTGAAACCATATTTAGCTTGTGCAAACTCATCTTCTTGGATCTTAGTGTAGGCAGACATGCCATTGTCTCTATAATCACGGGCAAGCTTAAACATGGCATGATTAAGTGAGTGAAATCCTGCCAATGTAACAAACTGAAATCGATAACCCATTTTGCCGAGTTCTCTTTGAAACACAGCAATCTCTGCATCACTGAGATTGGCCTTCCAGTTGAATGATGGAGAACAGTTGTATGCCAGAATTTTTCCAGGATAACGTGCATGGATGGCATCAGCAAATCTCCTTGCTTCTTGTAGATTTGGCTTGCCAGTTTCACACCAGATAACATCACAGTAGGGTGCATAGGCCAGTCCTCGAGCAATGGCTTGATCTAAACCTGCTTTAGCACGGAAGAAACCCTCTGGCGTTCTCTCTCCAGTCAGGAAAGGCCTGTCATATGGGTCGATATCTGATGTGACTAGGGCAGCAGAGTTAGCATCAGTGCGGCCAACAATGACAATAGGGACATCCAATACATCACCAGCCAATCGAGCAGCATTCAACACCTTAATGAACTGTTGAGTTGGCACAAGCACCTTTCCTCCCATGTGGCCACACTTCTTTTCTGAAGCCAGCTGATCTTCAAAATGGACTGCGGCAGCACCAGCTGCAATCTGTTGACAAAATAAGCCAGCATTAGCCAACAAAGTCCATATTTCAGTTTTATTAAATATACTCCTGGGCTGATCTAGTATTAAAGGTCCTAGAGACCTAACAAAGACGAAATGTCGGTCACTCAGGGCTAAGTTGATAGCATGACCCCCACCCTGATCTACACCCCTGGTTATTTCTCAACCAACATTAATTTGGTCTGTCATTGAATTATTGGTCAAAGACAATTTATTGGTCACTGGTAGTATCAGCAAAAACTTTCAAAAACATGTTCAATTTTATGTCCATGCACATGGAATTTGGGAGAGTAATTTGGCCGCTGAAGTAGGCAAAAGAGAGGCTTTGTTGGCAAAGGCAGTGAAATTAATGCACAATGGAGATCAAAGTTTTAAGGCCAGAAAATTACCATAGACTTAGTGAGTTCAAATGCGTTCAGTGGTCCTCCAAATCCAGCTTCACAGTCGGCAACAATAGGCAGAAAGTAGTCAATGTGCTTTTCAGTTCCCTCCATGTGTGCAATCTGGTCTGCCCTAATGAAGGCATTGTTGATACGCTCCACTAGTTTAGGTGCTGAGTTGGCAGGATACAAACTCTGATCTGGATAGGTCTGTGCAGCTAGATTGTTATCCCCAGCAACTTGCCAGCCACTCAGGTAGATAGCTTTTAACCCGGCTTTGGCCATCTGCACTGCCTGACCACCTGAAATCACAAATTTGTTTACTGAAAACTTTTTTGTTAAGAAAAAAAGAGGGGATTAATAACATATTTTGGGTAAAAAAAACACAAATTGAAACATTTTTTTTCTTATAAATATCTAACTGCAACTAATAATTGAACTATCATTTTCTATTCTCCTTTGTGAAAATGTTAAGGCAGCAACCGAAGAAGAATCTGAAATATTTTACTTTATTTCTACTATTTGTCTAATAATTTAATTTTTATTTTTCAACGATTTTTTCTTCTTTTACTCTTTAGGGGATCGAAATCAACTTCGTCACATACTTCTCATAAATATCTCAAGATGACCTTTGAACGCTGGGCTGTTTTTCGGATCTATATGCTATTGCGGTTTTTCCTTTACGTACATCCGTAGTTTTTGAAGGGAAATCGAGTGGAAAGTTGTCGAGTCACATCGCGCATCGTCACCGTCGCTTTTTCACGTCAAGGTCCAAAGATCATTTGCTCGTTGCGATGGATTTCCACGTCATTCGAATTTTTGGGTTGACGTGGCCGTGAAAACTCGAATAGAAAAAAAATTTAAGAGCTTCTGTTGATAAACTAGCGAAAAAAAGTTGTATGGGCATTTAAACTCTCGAAATGGAGCATGTCAAACTCATTCGGGCAAACCCCCAAGCAAATTGCGCGCCACATTGTAACATTCACCATATTTGGGAGAGAGAGAGTGGCTTTCACGTGCAGTCAAAACTAAGATCCGCCGTCAAAATTGAAATTGGGGAATCAGTCGGCTGGGAAATCAGACATGGCAACGTCTTCTTACCTGTAAGGGCTCCCATTGCGTTTATGTAAGAATTTCCTCCACGAGTCAAGTAATTCCAGAGCTTCATCGTGCCTCGCTTCGCCAAAGTGTGCTCGATCTTTAAAGAACCTCGCAGTCTTTCAACAGTTTCTGGGGTATAGTTCCTCTTGATTCCTTCATATCGCTGATGTTTGGAATACATTTTGGAGATGATCGTCAAACGTTAGATCTTGACTCTTGTGGAGTTGAAGATTCTTACTCAGGGAGTTGCTTCTCCGTGAAAATACTAAAAAGAAGTAAACCCTTTAGGTTATACAACTGTTTTGTAATTTTATGCCCGTGGACTTTGATCGTTCATCTAATCGGCGTTCCCATTGGTGGATAAAACAATCCATTGTTGCCTTGGTGCTTTTCATTGGTGCACACTTGTAAGTAGACAAAGAAACGCTTATTCCCTTGCCATTTTTTGTCGCAAGAACATGAATGGAATCACGAACATAGGGAACACTAGAAAACCTATTGAATGACTTTTAAGAGCAATTTAAACCTTGCAGAAACTACACTTCTTAAGTTCAAAAATTAAGATCTGCTCGATTGAAGATCCCGAACAGTTCAGCCAAAAGTTTCGGACATTTGTTTACGTCCCAGGAATCTGACGCAATATCTCTACGGGTTGCAAATGATTTGGTTGCTACGGACCTTGGATAACTCATCAATGTCTAGCAACAAGAACCGATAACTTAGATGTAGGATGTAGCAATTTGCAGTATTTTTTACTTTTATAGATACAAAATGAAGACCTTAACGCTCTCAAATACCCATATTATAAATACACGATTTCCTAGCGACCCACCACTACACCCCTCGTCACACCCCCGGTGTGTCCCCGGTACTTGCCCGTTACCCGCCCCTCCGTATCACCCTATGGCAAGTGAACTTTGTACTTTACGTAAAAACGAGGCAACTTCAAGTAGATCTTTTACTTGAGTTGTAAATTTGATCTTACTCATAGGAAAACCTGGGGTTAAACGCAAGTTTTCTCCTTCAAAGAGCTCAGCAGCTACCCGTAAGTACCGAAAAGAAATTGAAATTTACGTTAGGCTCCTTTAGAGTCTGCTTTTTCATCTCTGATTTAGCTGCAACTTTGTTTTCAACGTGTCAAAAGCTGTCACGTGTCATACGTGCTCGATCTTCTTCGATACTCTCCTCTGCATTTTTACAGCCAAAATTCAAACATTTTGTGTAGTAAGACGTACTGCAAGCATCACCTTTTGAAATATTGAACAAATTTAATTTTTTAGTGGCCGGGTATTCTGAAGTTGCTTCACTCGGGCTACCGTAGCAGACTAATTAACGTGAAGGCAATAAGCCTGAACTTTTTCATGAGTTGTCACGAAATCTTTTCCTACAGAAGTTTGTCCACGAAATTCCAGTTGCACGTACAATGCATGCGTTTGGGAGGTTTAAAGGCCTTTTGAGGTGGGATGAACCAGAATCCTCCCTTGTTGTCGTCTTTTCTTATCTTTCAGGTTTTCGCGCAGCTTTGCATGATAGTTTTTCATTTTTGCCTTATCATCCTGATCCGTGTGATAAATTTTCAGATATTGATTGCCCAACCCCTTGTCAAAACATCACAACTATCTAAGGTTCCAATATGTTCCTGTAGAATTTGTCCATGCTCACCCCACTGAGGGTTTTCTTAGTCTCAACATCTTCTCCACCCCTCTGAGAATTTCAGTTTACCTTCAGTTGATTCTTTCCATCATATGCCTTTGACCTTTGAGACCCTCTCCTCCTCAGACGTTCCAGTGACCCACTGTATGTATGAATATTTTCTGAATCCATATATTATTAAGTCATAGTCGTGTAACTTGTCACTTCTTCTTGTTGAAGGCAATTTGAGATGTTTTGATTGAAAATTGTATTATTTTAATAACAGATTTGAGAGCTCACCATGTTATTTACATGCTGTGGAAGTCGTACAACTCGCCAGCATTGTCTCGATCACCTTATTCTCTGAAATTGCGTAGAACCTTCCTAATTCAAATCGCTTGGTTATTAGTACCGAGACTGTGTTGACAGTTTTCATTATTTCCCTCTTAGTTTTCAAGAACAGAAACTATGAGGTGTCCAAAAGGTGAGCTAATATCACTTACATATCAGGGATCAATATCATGATTTGTACTTATGTTGAAACAGTGTCATTCATGATTAGTAGCTAACATTATTTACATCTATTTATTTCTTGATACACAATATTTGATGGTTTGACAGAGTTTGACAGATCTTCTGAGGAGTTTCTGTTACTGTCATTAATGACATTTCATAACACAATAAAACAATGCCAACTAAGAAGTACTTTAGGTACAAAAGTTGTAGTTATGTTCTGGCAAACTTCAAGTTTTTTATGAATCATGCAACATTATTTTATGTCAAATCATATCCTGTTTTTGTTTGGTCTTTCACTGGCATAAAGTTTACAAAGACAAACAGTCAAAATGTTAACAACTTAAAATATTCAAATACCTATTTCAAGTTGTGTTGGTCTAGTTTACTGGGGAGATAATTTAAAGCATATTTTCGATTCTTGCTTTTATCATCAGGAGTTGAAATAACTGGTGAAATAAAGCCAGAGTACGTTCAGATTCTATCCTATGAAGCTCTGGAGTTTTTAGCTGATCTACATCGCAGTTTTAACTACCGGAGGAGAAAGCTGCTCAGAAAACGGCTTGAGATTCAAGAAGAAATCAACAGTGGCCAACCAATCAAATACCCCGAAGCACGTCATGAAAAAGACTGGAAGGTGGCAGCAGTTCCTCATGACCTGCAGATGCGACATGTTGAGATCACTGGGCCTACTGATCGTAAGATGGTCATCAATGCCTTAAACAGTGGTGCCGACATGTACATGGCTGATTTTGAAGATTCACTCACTCCTTCTTGGAAAAATATTGTTGAGGGGCAAATCAACCTTTTGGATGCCAACAGGAAGACCATTAGTTTCACTAATGCTGATGGTAGGTACAAGTCAATGGTCCCCATAACAAATACTGTTCAAAGCACAAATAGCCTCTGGAAAGATTACTTTCTTCACTTTGTTTGCACTTGATTTTTCTGGTGAATAGTGCCACCCAGTCCCTTTTCTGACACTTGTGTACACCTGGACAATAACCTGTTGTTTATCAAAGGAAATGAATGCATTTTTAAACTTATGTCAGAGCCACCATCAGGCACTAAAAATCTTGAGCACATTTTAATTAACACCTGTATATATCGTTGTACCCAAGAAAAAATGTTTCCTTCAAGTTATTTGAAAACCCTATTGTGTTTGTCTCCTCTATAACAATAACTTACAATAATTTCATTTTTATTAGTAATGGCAATAACCATTTTAACATTGCTTGTTTTTTACAATGTATTAAATGATAAGGTTCAGAACGTCGTTTGAAGGACAAGACAGCATGTCTGTTAGTTCGTGTACGTGGTTGGCATCTGGATGAGAAGCATATCCTGTGTGATGGAGAACCCATGTCTGGAGCGCTGGTAGACTTTGGTCTGTACTTTTTCCATAACGTCCATGTAAGACTTGCCAATGGTTCTGCTCCTTACTATTACCTTCCTAAAATGGAGACTCACCAAGAAACAAGGCTGTGGAATGATGTGTTCAAATCAGCCCAGGATTACATGAAAGTGCCTCAAGGTATGTTTCTTTTAGACTGTCAGGGCAAAGTCAGAAATCTGTCTAGTTAACAAGCTCAGCCCATGACAAGAGAGTAGATTGGGTTGGGAAGATCAAATTTTCTCTGAATTTGCTAGCATTTTTAATGATTTGAAGACACACCCTACCCTTGAGGTGCTGTTAATAACCCTGATAATTTGTTATTTTCAGAGAGGTAGAGCCATTACTTGTTAAGAAACAGCTCTTTGAAGATTGTAATAATAGTAATTCTACAATTTAATTTGTTTGTCTCAACAGGAACCATCCGTGCTACTGTTATGGTAGAAACTCTGCTCGCAGGAGTTAACATGGAAGAAATGCTTTACGAGATAAGAGAGCATTGTTGTGGAATGAATGCAGGAAGATGGGACTACATATTTTCAGCAATTAAAAGATTCTCAAGGAAACCCGATTGTGTCTTACCTGATCGTAAACAGGTATATCTGGAATGGTTAAAATTTAAATTATGCTTAACTATCAATGGAACATTTCATGTCATTTCATATTTTGTGGTAGACCTTAATAATAATGTTGACAGAAACATATCGTTGTGGCCAGATGTAAATTAGTCATTTAAAAAGTCCAATTAAGGTAAGCCAATACTGACCATGGACTCTTGTTTTTTCCTCTTGTTAGATATCAATGATGGTACCATTCATGCGATGCTATACAGAGCGCCTTATCCAAGTATGCCATCAGCATGGTGCTCATGCAATGGGTGGAATGGCTGCTTTCATTCCAAGTCGAAAAGATGAGAATATTAACAAGATGGCTTTTGAAAAGGTTCGTCAGGACAAGGAGCGTGAAGTGGCTGATGGCTTTGATGGAACTTGGGTGGCACATCCTGATCTTGTACCTTTTGCAAAGGAGATCTTTATGAAGGTGGGTTTAATTTGCCTAATTCCACATATGAGCTAGGGTTCTTTTACAGAAGATGTTATCTGGTAATTAAAAATCAGGCTGTTCTGTATAAGATGGCTTGAGACTAAGTGTTAACTGTTGCAGGTGCAAATTATGCACATTATATACACTACTAGTTTCGTTAGAGTAGGTCTGAAGCTTAAGAATTATTTACCAGCTGATGTTCCTGTCGCTGTAGGGTATGCAGGGTGCTAGTCATCAAAAGCATCGTCTACGTGAGGAAGTGAATGTCAAGGTTGAAGAAATCCTTTCAGTTTCAGTCCCACAAGGATCCATTACAGAGGAAGGAGTCAGAGTGAACATCAGTGTCGCACTGCAGTACATGAACAGCTGGCTGTCGGTAATGTCTTGATATTACCATTTCCTGTATTCTTCTTCCCATGGCTGACTGCTTCCAACCTGCATACCACTTACTACACACCCCCTCCTATTTTAGTAGTTTACTATGCAATAGATTAGTGGTCGTCATTTTCTATTGTAAGGTTGCTTGTCATTCTTCATCAAGACAGCAAACTACTGCAGTAATATTGTAACCTACAGGACCATATTACCTTACCGACAAATAAATTAATATGTCCATTATCATGCTGCTAACAAAAATGCTTACGTAAGGCAATTTCCTGCAATCTTCAAGAGTGGCCAATTTTCATCACATGCACTATCACAATTTGACAGCTGCAATGTACTGTCAAGACAAGCTAGAGCAAGCCTTGCACTCTTAAAAGAGTCTCAATATGTTAAGTAGTTGCCAATCTCGATCATCTTTCCCTTTCCTTTAACAGGGTGTTGGGGCAGCAGCTCTAAACAACTTGATGGAAGATGCGGCCACAGCTGAAATTTCACGAGCTCAACTATGGCAGTGGTTGCGTCATGGTGTGCGGCTTGAAGATGGTCGTCCATTCACCTCTGAGCTGTACAAGACAATGCACAAAGCAGAAATAGATAAACTTGGAGGAGCATCAAAAGCTCGCTTAGGGCAGGCTTCCCAGCTTTTGGATAAGTTGGTTCTGTCTGAGGAGTTTATAGAGTTCCTTACAATCCCAGCATATGAGCTGCTGGATAACCCCTCAGCCAAACTGTAACAGATTATTAACTGGAACATTTTTCTCCAGCTCTACTTCTCAGTCATGGGGTTATGTTCAGAATAGTTCAGGAATAATCCAGTGTTACCTTGTCTCTAGGGCATCGGATGCGTTAAAAAGATTATATGAACCAGTGAACAGATGCAAAAGACTAGTGGCAATCAGATGAATGTTGAATTTAATTTTGACCTTTGTAAAAGAACATCGTGTTAGCAATTATAGTTATGGCTAAGCAGTTAATAATATTGTTCATGTGATGAAGTGGAAGAATAGTACATTGTTCATCTGTCAAGAGTGAAATATTGAAATAAAGCAAAATGTTGACAAAACAATATGGGGATGTGCTGCTTTTAAACCTTTTTACAGACAAGTGCTGTTCCATTTTTGGGGTTTTCATGGGCAACATTCATTGAAGTTGACCTTACTAAGGTAGATTCATGAATCTATTTGTTATACTGTTTTATTATATGGCTGTGTCTCACAAGGACCGGGGACTAGCGAATTCACGAATTTGATTGGCTGAAATCGATATTGACCGCGGTCTAGATTTTCCCATCTAGACCGGTTTCATTTTGCGTTGAAACAGTAACAAACTAAAATACAAAAATGTTCACCATTTTCTTTTAGTTTCTTCTCAATCATTTATGGAAGTTCCAAAAGCCTGATGACAACAAAAAAGTAAAGAGGACGAGCAAATTTTGGCAGGTTTAAGTTAAGCTCATCGCCATTCGCAAGCAAAATGTCAACAAACCAGTTACATTAAACGGATTAAAGTTTTCTTCTTTGCCATATAATAAACATCTTATTAACCGAGCTAAGTCGGTCTGTATGGGAGAATCTTGACCTCGGTCTGTACTCACGACCTCGATCAAGATTCTCCCATACAGACCCGCTTGGTTAATAAGAGCTAAGTAAAGACTGGTTGTTCAGCGTCTTACATGTAATATATCTCCAGTCAACACAGAAAATTATTATATTTCAGCGCTTGGGATGGACATGTTTGATCCATCCCTCACTAGAAAGTAACAGTCGGTTTTTTAATTTATTCTCTGCACAAGGGAATTCAAATATTTGCACGTCTCACACTTCTTGGCACAGAGGACATGTTCTTTAAACATCCTTCCCTTTATAACATTGAAAACTGTTAATCAAAAGTCGAATACTATAGTACAAGACAACCTCACCATAGATATTTTACTGAATGATTGCAACTTGCAAAATTACTTTATTTCTTCACCTTTTGATAACAAGTTTTAACTTGTAAACACTGCTATTCAAATTTGAACCCTCAATATCATTAGTGTTTACATATTAATTACATACTACCAAGTGATTCACAAAAATGAACCATAAATTTAATGATTATTAAATACAAAACTTGCATGGAAATTTTGCCCATATTACTGGGCCTATAGTTCAAATGTTGTTATTCTCGCTATTTGCATGCCCCTGCTATTACACATCTTATCTTAGTAAGTTGATAAAGGCATGACTGTGTTTTAAAGAACTGAACTCTAACCAAAGGAACTCTTAGATAGAGGGATGAAGAGGTGATGCTGTAATTCTACACTCCAAATCAAAGCTGACTGCAATAACATTTCAAAGCAGAAAGAACATCCCCCATTCTATTGAAAAAAACTGGTTGGAGTTTCAAAATGCCTTGTGAATAATTAACAATTAGACCCGTAGCCCGCAAGG